ATATAGGCGTATGTATTATAGGTCTTTATGAGTGCCATGTATCAGATAGATAATATTGAAGATTGCAATAAAAAGGCTGACACTTACTCAAAGAAACTTTTTAAGTATATGTGGAAAAAAACGCAACGATTTCTGTAAAAATATTTATTCAATAAAAATATCGTATATGTTTTTTTTTCGACTTGACCTCGTTATAATACTATAAGTTCTTCAAGTAGAGATAGGAATCATAAAAAGAAAAGCAAAATAGGGGAAGGCTTTTAAAATGCATAGATTTGATTGTTGAAGGTACAGAACATAGTAAAAGATATCAATAAACAAACAAAAAGAGAACAATAAAAACGAAAGACGGTTGTCATTTATACAAGTCGTAAATTATGTTGGAAGAAACCAAAAAGTATCCATATCAAAAATTACGATTCGTCTTCGCCTATTTACGGTAAAAATACAATATGTAAACGAGCCGTATACATACAGTCATAATATTATATGCAGAAATACAGCCCTATCATACTGAGATTATGGCACATACACAGCCGTATACGATGTCATTTTACTGTGATAAAGATTGCGAGAAAAGGCGGTCAGTTTTATGCCGTAAACTAGTCGCTTTGTCATCATTTCCTGGTGGGAAACGGATCATAAACGACATCCGTTTTGATTAATTTCAGTCGACAAGTTATAGTGCATTATTTTCTTGAATGAATAGCTTATAAAAGTATTCAAGGTTCTTTGGTGAGAACAAAGTAACTAATAGACCTTGGCAGCTTATGTAGGAAGTCAACAATGAAAAAAAGAACATGAATTAAAACTTAAGTATTGTGGTGGCAATAAGCAAACATTCACTAGGTTTTTTTCCTTACAAATAATCTCTTTCAATGAATTGAAAGTATGATAAATGTGATATTCTAACTATGGATTATTAGAAATTCGGTTAAGAATTTCAAAAGAAAATACTGTAAGACTAATTGTTATATAGAAAAAATTTAACAGACATCTCATCTCGGTATCATGCTATTTATACTTTTTCCATCTTGCTCAAAAAGTCTCTTTAATTAAGATAAACATAATTTATTCATTTTCACTAGGGATGTTTGTTCTACAACTATTTCTTTCATTCATAATATTCTAATACATTCTGCTGTGCTATAGTCATATGTTTATCTCGCAAAGAGTATAATTTAAGCGACACATTTTTGAGTATGATATCGTGAAATGTTTTTCTCAGAGATAGGCAGGGCTGTTCCACGTTGCACTGTGCTCTATCGTATGTCTATACAACACTGTGCAAATCTTCATAGAACGCTTGCTATGCCATCTCATGGTTCTATTCGTGATTAGCAAAGATCGAAGAAAAGGTTTTGTGCTTTCGAAACGTATTCGTCGAGCAAGGAGATAAAAGGGCGTGCGAAGCATGTAAACTTGGGCAAGAGCATATGGCAGCCCCGTCTTTCTCTCGTTTATATATATATATTAGTAGGTTTTTAGTTCATAAAATGGCGTTTTTACTCAAAACACGAATCCAAATAGTTATTTAACTTGCTCGTGCAATAACTCATTTCTTTCTGAGAAAAGGATTAGAATTACTGCGTCGTAACGTGTTTCTAAAAAATGTGTTGTCTTCAGTAAAAGAACTCTAAGTAAACGCGTTTCCATGCATGACAAATAAATGCATCAAACGCATTCGAACGATATTATAAATATCGTTAATTGGACATGAAAAAATGCATTCTCACATGAACACGTTGAAATTGTGCTTTAAGACTGTATTTCAAGTTGAAGAAACACATTTTACGTAAAATGCAATGTGTTTTAACCCCAAAATAGCAATTTTCTATAAAAATTGGTGCTGAAACGCTATTTTGTACAACTTGTCTTTTTTCCAAGGGAGTTTTGGAAAGGTAAAAAACAGAAACAGATGTTTTTTTTATTAATCTGAGCATATATGCTTCCAGAAAAACATGCGCATTTCTTGCAAATAGACATGTTGCTAAAAAGAGAAAATTGAAGGATGTTTGACTAGAGAATAGTATATTTGAATACTATAGAAGCCTGCCTTTTCGAATCAATATGTACTAAAGTATTTTCTTGGTTACCTTGTGATATATTCAGAGTTGAAGATATCATTGACAGAAATACAACTTTGTCGTTTAGTAGAAGTTATGTTTTAAAAAGCTGTTCTGTACAAAATATTCCTTTTGAAACCTATAATCTAGTTATTGTTAGAAGTAAATTCATACAAACAGAGTAGAAATCACATCTATTCTCCATCGTTATTAGATGTCAAACAAGTACATTCTAATATTTCTTTCAGATAAATTTCTTACAAATTTATCCGAGTCATGATTTCTAAAAAGTTATCATATCTTCCGTTGTACTTCTGACATAAAATTTCTAATTTTTATCTTTAAATAAAAAAAACAAAAGTATAACACTGCAAACAATCAAATACAATAGAATACTTTTCATTCTAGACTATAATATGAAGAATATTTCAAAAAAAAAACAAATGAATTAAATTAATAATAAAAACAGACGATAATAGATTAGCTCCATTTTTTCGTACTTCATCATCGGAAAAAAGTAATTTATGATTTTGACCTTGAAAAAAATCAAGACTAAGATTTTGTTGTTGATGTTCGTGTAAAAGAAGTGACAATACGGCTAGATCAATTGGATCGTTTCCTAACAAAGTAATACTAGTTGTTGTTGTCGTTGTCAAAACTAAATTGATTGTTGTCATTGTTGTTGTCGTTGTTGTTGTTGTTGTTGTTCTTACTGTTGTTGTGGTTGATAATGCAACAGTTGTTTTCAATGTTACTACAATTATGCCATGAATTATATGATAAAATATCAAATTAAATTTACCTGAAGGGCAATCCATAGAAACAGCTGATGGACATTTATTAGTGAAGGCTGCTTCAGTATCGTTCATTTCCGTAAATGGATATGTTCGCGAAAGACCACATGTTTTCTCAAGTAAAACATGTATTTGATTACTATAAGGCACTTCTTCATAATCTACTGGTCGATAGGTCCCATCGAAAAAGGGCTCAAGAAAAACAATATATTGTTGATTAACATTTAATCTTTGACATGAACGACGACCAAGAAGTGAACCTAAAATCGATTCATTTTGAGAAACAAAATGAAAAACTAAATCTGTTTGATTTATTAACCTGCTTGAACAATATAAATAAGACGTTGAGTTGGTCGACCTTTTAAAATACATGAAACAAGAAATGTAACATTAAATAAATTTCGAATATTTATATCAATATCTTTATTTAATGAAGTACCAATAACAATAATAGGTGATTGATGAACTTTGATATTAAATGGAACATCATCTTCCTTAGACTGTTTATCACATTCCAAGGTTGATATGAAATGTATAAGAGTAAAAATAATACAAATAATGATAATGTATGTACGACGATTATTCATATCTGTCATCGAAACGAATGAACCGATTTAAACGAACATTTTTTTCTCGTTTTCTTTCTATTCATCGAAGAAATTATCTTAGATTGAATTACTTCATCTATTTCTACTATAGTTGGATCGAATATCGGTCTACGTGACTATGAAAATGAAAGGAACAAAAAGAATGTTGATAATGCTTCTTTCATAATAGAGAATGTGCGTGACTAGGTGATTTTTATTAAAGATAAGAGAACGTTTATTTGATCCATCGTCTATTCTTTGTCTTATAAGGCATCGAATGATCTTGTATAAATAAAGAAAAGTTTTTTGATGATAAAAAAAAGTTCATGGATGATGTAATCAAGTCAATTCATATTAAAAGATGAATCTTTTTTTTTTCTATTCTAATGCAACATTTTTATGAAGTGCAAATAATTCATAAAAGTTTGACCTTCCTGTTCGAAATGAAACCTTTAAGATTACTTATATTAATAGAATACATCAAGAGTTGTATGATTGAACATTTCTCGGCAAAGCTTGAATAGAACTGCTTTCGAGCAATTATTATTATGACAACATATTATGATATACAATAAAACGACAATCATCAAACTTGTCTAGTGAATGATGTATGATCCATTGCCACCGAGAAATTGTGGACAATGGTAGGAGTCTCGAAGCAGGAATCTAATGTTCGCATGCAGTAGAAGAATTTTCCTAATATTGACAGGAATCACTCATAACCAAAAAGATTCGATCAATGAACATGATGATCGTATTGCTGTTTTCAAGTTCATATGATTTTCTGAAATTTTTCAGTTGGAAATCATTAACTTAAGTTATCATCCATCAAAATAAAAATCATTTAAGTTTGAGTTTTGATGGTACTCTGTGATGAATCAGAATAAAAGCAAATGTATAAAAGTGAATATTTCATTATCGAGATTATTTTCAAATTTTCTTCCGTATGATAGATATGATTTTAAGCTGACAATATTTCGAATCTTCATCCATAAAGAGAACATCAAGGTAATGCTTTTTTTTTCAGATAAATGAATAAAATTGAAACTAAAAGTCTTAACTACAATCAACTTCAGAAAATAAATACAGCAAAACGAATCCCACTGGAAACCATTCTTTCTATAGCAATAAAAAATAAAGTCACATCACAAGCAATCTTCAAATCCTTTTTATTATTTTCATTAAAATGGTTTTCTTATATGATTTATCATAAAATTTTGAAAAACTTAAATAAAATATTTTTATTATTGTTTTTGGGCAGTCATCTTTCATTCTTTTCTGTTAGTGCTATACTCCATCTATCTGAGAAGTTTTAATTTTGAAAATTAATTTTTTTTTCTAATCCTTTTGTTTTAAAAAAGCTACTACGGTCATCTCATATGCATATAACATTACAATACTTTTTCATAACAATAGGCATTGTTGCAACATAAATTACTATAATCGAAATTATAGAATATAATCATCATCATCCTCCAATAAAACCAATAAAAGCACGTGATTTTCATTATGAAAAGAAGCTATCGGATAGGATGACATGAAAAGATAGATTGTATAGGAATTCATGACATATCGAGTCATCCATATACGAACATCGACAAGAGATGAACTCATAGCAAAATGGTACAATGTATAACGAGCACTATGAGAATATGATTACAAGACTATTTTCTTATGTAGATTAGCAAAATCTGACAAGAAGAAAAGAATGAGTCCATGTTAATATTTTATCTATTGGTTTTGACATGTAATGGACATGATAGGATGATTTTGTCGAAAATAGTATTATGATAAACCGTAATACTACAAAAGAGATTTGAGGCAATACTGGAGAAGTAATTATTTATATTACTTGGAGAATGATAATTCTCCATGATGTATTCACTTCATAGAAATGAAATGAAAATTTGTTGTCGTCAGAATGTGACAAGATGGATAGAAAGAAGGTTGTGCATTCTATTTTTGACAGTAACATTCATCTACGGAACACGAATGTATCATTGATACTTAATGCAAGTCAAGATAATAGGCAAAGTTGTTAATCGAGTTCACAGAATATGCGCATAGGTGTTTTAGAAAAATGGAACATCAAACAAAAAGAGAAAATACATCAAATATGAAAGGAAATATTCTCTTTTTTAGTCATTTGAAAATATTTTGAAAGAAAGAAAAAATATTCTTTAGAAACAGAATGGCGTGTATACACTGTTCAAATATGTACTTTGACATTTTATCTGAAATGTAATCCCTAAGAAATTAAAGAATTTTTGAAACATTTTAAAACTTTGTTTCAAGACACAAAAAAATAGACTTCAAATAACTACTAGTAGAAAAGCGTCCGATGACAACTCTAAACACTAACGAACTTCGTCATACCGCTACGTACACACAGTTTTTGTAAAATGTAAGACGAAACGAAATCGTAACGCTAACTAAAATGAAGTAACATGCGTTTTGTCATGAGACAATATTTTCACAATATGGGAGTTTTTGCAAAACAACAACTTTTTGCAAAATGGGAATGATCGAAAACAATCACTTGGCTACGTTATCAGAAGGCGAAAAGAAACTCAAGCAGGCAACTTCTTTGCAAAAGACAGAGTTTAACAATCTGTGATATACGAACGAATCTTCCACGTCATACTTTAAGATGCCCACAGTGCAAATATTAACATACGCAAGGAATTTTGCGAGAATTCAATTTAGTAAGCTTTTCGAGGATTTTCTTTTCACGATCACATAAAATTCTGATTGTAACTTATAGTTTTTTATTCTTTTGAAATAATTTCATACGATTAAAAATTGAAAAAATATTCCTTCTTATATTTCGGCCGATTTGTTAACAAAATTTGAGGTCTCATTCTTTTGTAACATCTATGCACATATGTCTGTGAACTCAACTAACAATTTTGCCTATTATCTTGACTTGCATTAAGTATCAATGATACGTTCGTATTCCGTAGGTGAATGTTACTGTCAAAAATAGAATGTACAATAATTCTTTCTATCCATCTTGTCATATTCTGGCGACAACAAATTTTCATTTCATTTCTATGAAGTGAATACATCATGGAGAATTATCATTCTCTAAGTAATATAAATAATTACTTCTCCAGTATTGCCTCAAATCTCTTTTGTAGTATTACGGTTTATCATAATACTATTTTCGACAAAATCATCATGTCATATCCATCACACGTCAAAACCAATAGATAAAATATTAACATGGACTCACACTTTTGTTCTTGTCAGATTTTGCTAATCTACATAAGAAAATAGTCTTGTAATCATATTCTCATAGTGCTCATTATACATTGTACCATTTTGCTATGAGTTCATCTCTCGTCGATGTTCGTATATGGATGACTCGATATGTCATGAGCACATTATTGGCTCTTGGTATTCTTGGCAATACTATAAATATATTTATGTTTAGTCGCAAACGACCACTTCATCATTCTTGTACACTCTATCTTCTCACAGCATCCATATTGAATACATTCACTATTAGTTGGGGCATCATCCCTTCATTGTATATTCTCGATCATGTCGATCCTGCTACTTACTTATTTATCTATTGCAAACTGCGTCATTATTTAATTCATACATTTCTAATGATAGGTCGATCAATGACTGTTCTCGCATGTATTGATCGATATGCTCTTTGTTCTAATTCTATTGCATTCCGGATGTTCAATGAACCTAAAAAGGCAATTCAATTGATTATTGGTGTTTTACTTATGTGGCCTATCTTGAATATTCATCTTCCTGTCTTTTACACTTTCAGAAATAGAACATGTGTCATGACTCAGCCATATTCAGATTGTTGGGCCATTTATTCAGTTATAGTACCTGGTCTTCTTATGCCTATATTGATGGGTATTTTCGGTATTTCAGCTATTCTTCACCGCCGTGAACTTCATACAAGGCTGAATGCCAGCACAACCATACGCAATAGACGAGACTATACACTCATGATGATGTTGTTTGGTGAAGTCATCGTCTATCTTTTATCTACTAGTCTGTTTCCAGCAATTACTTTCTATCGATTTGTGACTAATGGAGAAGTAAAAAGCATTGAAAAACAACAAATCGAAATCTTTGTGAGCTACTTGGGTAACACACTTCTCGTTTACATTAATCCATCTGCAGGATTCTTCATCTACAGCGTTGCTTCAAGTAGCTATCGAATAGAATGCAAACGTGTTTTAGTGCGTTTATATATGCGAATGACTCGACGAACGGCTCAAGTAGACCCAGTGATGACTATAAGGGATCCAACAGTTCAATATCAAACAGCCAAGTTTTAAGATATCTGTTACAATATTGAAAATACAAACTAAACTTTTTTTGCTTTCCCCCATCATATATGATTTTGTCTTGTCGCATCTTACTTTCTATTTTAGCTCTTTCTGCTTTGCTTCAGTATGATGTACATTTAAAAGAAAATCATGACAATTGCATTGAATAAAATATTTCCACTGCAATACTCTCACTTGGTTTGTAAATTGAAACCTGCACTAATAGGACATGAACACAGAAAGCTGAAATTTCTTTTCGTTTTCAATAACAACTTATTTAATACTATTTTTGTAAGCAGATTATCGTTACGGGTAGATGATGACATACATATCAATTTGCAAAGGCCTGGATTTTTGAAGAACTACATAAACTGAGATGGCTATTTCAAAGCTAGTGACGATAATAGCGTCCTCCACGGGAAATAATCGAATCCTTATTCAATTAAAACCTGTTCGTGTTAATGTTTTGACAAGACTTGAAATAAACATGTATTTGTTTTCTTTCACACTAGACAAGTTCTTGACAAGCACAGCTAATTAAAAGGAATCAAATGTAGGCTAAAATTCATGAATCAATGAAATTCTGATAATTATCTAGTAGAATTTTCGTTTTGTTTGAATTTCTATTTTACTTTATATATATCTCTTTGCAACTTGTTCATCCTTAATCAGAATCATCAAATTGTAGATGAGAATTATAAAAATAAA